AGAGAACGTTATTTTTGACTTGGTATTCTGTAACCCGATGGGTTTAATTGAGACACCCCTAGGTAGCAATGACTATAATATGATTGAAGTTTATATCCAGTTTGAAAGAGAGAAAATTGGGTGCAAGATGGGTATTTTTAACCTAAAAAAGGCACCTATGAGGGCATAAAAACTGAGCTAGCTGAAGCGAATGCATTTATAGACACAATGGCAGTTATTTAAGAGAATATTTTAGAATAAGTATATTTCAACTATAAAGAAATAATCTAGAGGAATGACTCGTCATCTGTGATCAACTAAAGTTAAGGAAAGCATCAAACTTAAGGAAAAAGTGTAGAACTACACAGGTTGATTGGTCAGAATATAAGGAATGGCAGAGAATGACTGACTGAAAGGTTAATCAGGAGGAAAAAAAATAGTTTGATGCTAGCTAGGAATATAAAAATGGATAGCCAGAGTTTATGCAGCTTTTCTTTATAAAAAGGTAAAGAGTATGTAAGCAGAGTGCTGGTTCTTTCGAGAGTGAGAATGAGAACTTCATATCATCACCGTTTCATTTTCTAATATTAACAAATATTTTGCTTCAGTCCTCACTGTAGGGGATAGCAAAGCATTCCATTAATAGCTTTTAAACCAGGAGGAGAAAGAGGAACTTGGTGAAATCACAAGGGAAGTAGTACTAAGCAAACTTTTATAGAGCTACTATAGCCCAGTTTCCTTGATGTCTGTCATGGGAAAGATGTTACAATCACTCTTAATGATTAATTCTAACTGCATGCCGTAGAAAACTGAGTTGGCATGATTTTTGTCAAAGGGAAATCATGTTTAACCACTTCATTGGAGTTTTTTTGAAGGAGTACCTCATGCTATGGATAAAGGGGATCCTGTAGATACAGGTTTTTCTGCTATATCACGTGTTTCGTTAACACGAATTGGCTGTAATGCGATTGAATAGTGGATGCTGTTTGGATAATGCAAATTTTCTACTGTACAGTATAGCGATTTTTCCCTATGACGTGATTTTCTATAGCATGAGGTCGCAGAAGAACGCAACTACTGTTATAGGAGAACTACCTGTATGCTGTCCTTGGATTTTCGGAAGACATTTGATAAGGTGCCACATCCAAAGTCCATGTGAGAAGCTCATAGTGTAGCAGGTAACATTAGCATGATTAGAAGATTGACTGACTGGTGGAAAGCAGAGTATGCATAAATCAGTCTTTGGCATGATGTGATGAGATGTGTCCCACCAGGATGTGTGCTGGCGCTTCGGCTTTTACAATTTTTGATCAGGCGAGTGAAAGCATAGTAGCTATATTTCAGATGGCACTAAACTGGGTAGGGTTTTGATGAACACTCCAAGAAGTTGCAGAAGGATAGCGAGGTTGAGTGGGGGGAGAAAAATCTAGTTGGAGTGTAACGTAGGAAAGTGTGAACGGAGGTGTAACATTTTTAAACAAGCAAGACAAGGAAATTACCAAGGCAAGATTGATGAGAGAACTGTTCCCAATAGTTGATAGTTAAAGGACTATATGTGACATAAGATTATGGTAAGGTGTGTATAGGGAATGTGAAAAGGTTATTTCTAAAGCAGTGAATGACGTGACCGAGAACATGCTGCAGACAAGGATGATGAAAATGGAGTGTTGATTTTCGAAGAAAGTTGACTGTAAACCTGCAACGCTATATGGATGGTGCAGGGGAACAGACTATTTGGAATGCTCCTGAGCTGACATGCCTTTTAAAGTCTGACTCTACTAGCTTCTATCTGTTGGTCTTACTACTACTTCCTCACTCCTAATCTGCACCAGCTATATAACCCTTTGTTTTTTCTGTTCCTGATCTCTTACATCCTTAGCTTGCATAGAAACTCTGGTCAGAGGTTCTGAATTCATCACTATAAACTGTTGCAACTCCAGTTTACCATAACATCATAAAAACAAATCCCTGACCATAAGAACGTGGCTCAAGGGCCAGTATTTGCTCTTGTTCATCCATTCTAGATCCATGGTTGATCTATGAAAAAGATAACTTTGAACTTGTTTTCGTAGTTTGTAACAAAACCTCAGAGTTAACGTTTTGGGTCCGGTGACCCTTCCTCAGAACTGAGTTTGTTCTGAGGAAGCGTCACCGGACCCGAAACGGTAACTCTGATGTTTTCCCCACAGGTGCTGCCAGACCTGCTGAGCTTTTCCAGCAACTTCTGTTTTGTTCCTGATTTACAGCATCTGCAGTTCTTTCGGTTTTCATAGTTTGTAATTTGGAGCTGCTATTGCAGAAAATAAAGTAGGGTCAAAAGCAGAATAAAAACCAAAGAACTGCAGATGCTGTAAATCAGGAACAAAACAGAAGTTGCTGGCAAAGCTAAGAGGTCTGGCAGCATCTGTGAAGATGAAATCAAAGTTAATGTTTCGAGTTCTGTGGAAGGGTCACTGGATCCGAAACATTAATTTTGATTTCTCTTCGCAGATACTGTCGGACCTGCTGAGCTTTTACAGCAGCTTCTGTTTTTCTTAGTGTCAAAAGCAGTTGGATGCAGTCAGCCCTAGACTTTCCTGCTTCTCAAGATCAGGAATTAATGGGACTTGAGGAATGTGCTACTTTTTTCTTTCTGCCTTGTAAAGTAGATTTACCTCCAGGTGAGTTCACATCCAGGTTTTGCTGCAGTTGGGAAAATCCAGAATAGGGCCAACAAGTGGCAACTAACATTTGTGCTAAACAAATGCTAGGCAAAGATCATGTCTAACAAGACAGGAATCTAACCATTGCCCTGTGATATTTAATGGCATTGTTGCTGCTGTATCCCCACAATCAATATCCTGGGAATTACTATTGACAAGAAACTGATTAGAAATTGATACAGTAAACATATTGGGAATAGTATTAGGTAGTACTGAACTTGTGTTGCTGTAAAAAGGTAAACTTTGTCAAAGCTTCACATCTTGTACTTGTTCGAACCCTTGTTGATTTTTCGTTATTTTTTATTATTTTACCAATTTTGGTTTGAAGCTGAAGATGACTTGTGGACTATGAAACAGCCCGTAGTAAAAGGAAAGGAACAGACCAAATGCACTTTTTTGAGAGGGCAGGCTGGAGGCTAAGTACAGGCTGATTCTTGATTAAAAACACTCCAGTGGATACCACAACCCTGGGAAGAGCATTGTATTTAAAGTTAGCAGAAGTATACCATTAACGAAGTTAGTACCTGGGAATTGGTTCCGTCCAGTTTGGAAGTCACCCTGCCTTCAAGTAGATGGCAGTAATTGAACAGAAATTAAAGCTTCAGGAAAAGACAATATCAGTCAATTAGGGTGGAACCAAAAATGAAGTCTTTTTTTTTTCCAAACTATGTTTTCTCAGGAAATGAGCTTGGCTGATAATGACCCAGTATGAAGATTTGAAAGCTCCCTGCCTAATCTCCCATACCAGCTTTTAGAAGCCCAAAAAGTAGAAAGTAGAGTTAAACTGAGAAATAACCCTAATTGGTAGTTCTAGAAAAGCAACAAAGGAGTCCACCTTTATGCCTGTGAAACAAAACATCACTGAAAACTATTTAAGTAATCTGGTCAATTTTGTTACTTTCTTTTATTAATCCCTTTAACTGTCTGTCTGTCTTTGTCTTTTGTATGAAATGTTGGCCAAACACAAATGTTTGGGAATGCAAGCATTGAAATTAACCACTACCTTGTTTAATTGTTTCTCTGCTGAAGTTAGTGTGTGCAATACAAAACCACTGTCTGGAATTAATCATTTGCAAAGTCTGGGATTGGTTCTTCAAAAGTCTGGTTAGGAAACATTGGAGTAATTAGTGGGTGTTTTCTGTTTAGTTTCACTGCAAATACAGAGGTAGCAAGGCTGATTTCGGTTCAGCCGTCTGCCTCCTTGTTGTTATGCAGTCTTCGTGGCAATTTGCTAAAATACCAAAGTATTGGGAAAACTGGATGTAAATATTTGCAACAGTCAAGGTGCTGACTATACCCAACCTGTCACTATTGCAATACTGTCAACACAATGTACTAACATCAGGGAGTGATTCTGCAATTGGACAATACTTTGCTACATAATCCTGAGTGAGTGAGGAATTATACTGATGACCAATTTGGTAGTGTAAATCAGCATCATCATGGTGCGCTTGCATGTACTGGAAGTTCCATATTAATTACACAGGGCCCTGTTCTTTGCAGACATAGAATGTGTGCACATGTTTCATGGCAATAGTATAGCGGGCAGCCATTCTCTAGTTTACCCCTGTGATCAAAGCATCATTCAATCGGCCAACCTGCTTGTTTTTAAAATTTAAACTGGGCTTGGCAGTTAATGATAACTGACACAGGTGATTTTCCCATAGCAACGTCCTTACCAACCAGAGTCGGTTTTTTTTTTTTGCCAATTAAATCAGACTCTACTCCATACAGTATAAATATTGTTTTTCTTTTCTTTAGGGTATTCCTTGCAAATTATCCTGTTGAGTGCAAGACAAAAATTTTCAACGAAGTGTCTTTTATCAGCAATACATATTGTTGGTACCACGGCCAAGCCACTAATTCTTCACAACTAAGCTAGGCAAATGCATGTTTTATCTGTTGTACTTTTCCAAACTGGACAATTGTTAAAGTCAGAGCTTATACTAATAATCATGTAGCCAAACCTCTGGGGTTTAAAATTAGAAAGGGGTTCTATCAGTTAACAGTAGTTCATATATGTGGGAAGGTTTGATTCTGGAGAAGCCATATCTTTGCAGGCCTCAGCTCAGAGACTTCAGTGAACCGCACTACTAGCTATACAATGGAGAAACTTCAAAAGTTCGTTTTCTAATGCCAATGGATAATCTATTCAACCACAGTGTGGTGTAATGTATTTGGAACTGTCTGTGGAGTGATGACAAGTACAATGGCTAAGTTCAAGGCTTTCTAATAACTTATTGTGAAGATTGTGTTCTTTTGGCTGTTTTTGTAAAACTAAATGGATGTTATTTAACAAGAAACTTCTTTCCCCTTTAGTCATTTACTTTGTCAAGGAAGAAGATTGTCCACTACACCAGCTTTGATCAACGAAAACGAGCTAATGCAGCATTTCTAATTGGTGCCTATTCAGTAAGTAATGCTTTTATTTATACTTGCACTTTCATTTATCTCTTCTTTTGAAAGAGTTAACTTTAATTAATTATGAAAGCTTTGTCAGTGGGGGGAAAAAAAAACTGTAGATGTTTTTTACACCAATCTGGTGCCCAATCTAATTATTGAAAGCTCCAAAGCTTTAGTTTTTTTAATATTAATAGAAGTTTGCAGTGTGTTAGTCACCCAAGGTCAAGTAAAGATTGGCTCCCCTGAGAAAAGATTTAGCAAAAGATTTTAAGGACTGCCTTAAATGAGAAGAGGGGTAGGAGGAAATTCCACATCCTAAGACATTATATATAGTTCTCCTGCGATACCTAGTGGCTCATGAGGTAGTCAGTTTCTTTCCCTGCTGTTTTGATCAGAACAAGATTGATCATTAGCTTGTGTCACCAGGGTCCTTGTCTGTGCCATGCTTGATATTACTGCCTCAGACCCAATGTTTATTTCATTGCTCTCTGTACAAAAATGTGATACAGCTGAACACAGTGAGGCTATGGTGTTAGCTTGCTAACAAGTAATAGGGCATCAATTGGACTTTTGTTCAGTGGTTGCAGTAGAAATTTGCATTTTTCTTTCAGCTTTTTAATATTCAATTTTTCTACTTGCTATGAAAAGCAGTTCAAAATGAAATACTGCAGTTTTATAACTAATATATTAGATTTGTTGCTCCCCAAACTGGAAGCTTATACATGTTTTGTCTTGATGCTTTCATAGCAGTTAATTTACATAAAATTTCCTGACCATCTGTGCTCTGTGTTCATGGAGTTGAAAGTCCTAGTACCAAAATCTACAGTATTGATTAAACTGACAGTATATACTATCATCTTTCACTGATGCAGCTAGCAACAGATTTGCTTTGCTTTTGTCAACAGCAGTTTTTATTTGATATGGTCTTGCATGTTGCAGTCTTTTTTAGAAAAAGATTCTTTCCTGAAATGTGCTCATATTTCCATGTTACTTGTCAGTGCATGGACTTCCTCAATATCTGTTTGTACCATCTGCAACTCCTCAATGTGTAATTACCCATGAACATCCACATTCCTGACCTCTAAAATGGAACAAAGGTAATTGAAGAACTTTTGAGATGGTTCTTTGTAGGGCACTTGTCTGAGGAACTTCCTAGAACTGTGCTGATTCGCCTCCAATGTCCGCAGCCACCTTTTTTACGAGCCCATATAAGTCTAACCAGTGGAGATCTTGCATGATTCTCATTTATTTCATAATTGCTGGGATTCTTTGCCATTATTTCATCAAACACTGCCCTTGATATCAAGAGTAGTCACTCTCCTCCTCTCCTGAAATTGAGCACTTTGGACAAAAACTGGATGCTTCTGATTGGGTGATCCCAAATTGGGCATCTGAGCAGTTTATTACTATGCCACCTAGAACTGTTGGTGACATCTTCCATTATTTTGCTGATCATTGACCATTGTCTGAGATGAAATTGGCCAGATTGGAATTGTCCTGCTCTTTGTGGACAAGACACCTGGGCAGTTTTCCCACATTTATTCCCCAAATTCTTTGTAGTTCTCAATTATGCAATCCAGGATACTTGTTATTCTTGAGTGCAGCAATTACCTCGCCTCATTTTTTAACAAACTTTTTTTTTTTTTTACACTTTCATTGGAAGTTTAATTGAGAACCTAATCAGCATTGGGCTAGGTTGACACAGAAAATCTGTTGTGGGCTTCCTGGAAGTGTTCTGCCCACTTTGGGTAACTTGACTTCACCCTCATGTTTTGTGATCAGTATGGTATCTCTTGCAGTAATTAGTCCTATTCTTGATCACATACTGTCTGTAATCATCTTTAATGATTTTAAACAGTGGATTTAATTGTAGGAAACCACATCTTCTGTGCTTGCTGATCACTTCTACAGTTGTCTTTTTTTTTAGGTTTTGAATACATTTCTTCACCTCTGTACCTATTTATTTAAAAAAGGGTCTGATGGAAGACAGTGTTTCTTGTTTTGTTTTGCTTTTCTGCTGAAGTACCTCTTTTTTTTATCTTGCACTGGAAGATTCCAAGAGTAGTTGCTAATTCATACTATTACATAAAACTTGTTTGAAGGAAGTATCTCTCTTCCCCTGCTACCTTTAATTCCTTGCACTAGTCAAATGTTACATGCAAGGAATTAGCCAGAACATCAAATCTGCTTAAGGTTAAGTTAAAAGTCATCACCAAAATTGGCAGTGTAATGCGCAATGGAGAAGGTTATCAAAGATTATGAAAAGGTCTTCGTCAATGGGCTGAGGAGTGGGCAGATGGAGTTTAATTTTGATAAATGTGAGGTATTGCATTTCAGTAAAACACAAAAGGGTAGGACATATACAATCAATGGTAGGGTACTGGGTGGTGTTGTAGTACAGAGTGTTCAGGAACATTAATTCTTTGAAATTTGCATCATGTGTAGACTGGGTGGTTGAGAAGATGTTTCGCGTGCTTGCCTTCATTGCTCAGACCTTTTAAGTATGGGTGTTGGTATGTCATGTTGATGCGCAGGATGCTGGTGAGGCCCCTTCTGGAGTACTGTGTATAGTTATGGTTGCCGAACTATAGTAAGGATAATATTAAATTGGAGAGGGTTCAGTAAAGATTTACCAGGATGTTGCTGCGAATGGAGTGTTTGAGTTATAAAGATAATCTGGGACTTTTTTCACTGGAGTGTTGGAGGTTGTGGGGTTACCATATAGAGGTTTAGAAAATCATGAGGCATATAGATAAGGTGAACAACAAGGGTCTTTTCCCTAGGGTGGGGGAGTTTCAAACTAGCGGGCATATTTTTAAGGTGAGAGGAGAAAGATTTAAATAGGTCCATACTGTATGACTCTGTGGCTCTGTCTTTCAGCTAAGTCTTGGTTGTAACCATGATGTCATTCATCCCACGTATTTATCTGTTCTCTCAGGTCATCTCTTTTATTCTTCAGGCTCCTTGCATTAAAATACATTCAGTTAACCTTGCTGAACTCACCTCTTTCTTATCCGGCCTGTTTCTTCTATCTTCCAGACTCCCTGACTAGATTTATAACGCCTAGTTCCACTTCGAACTCTCTGCCCTCAGAGCTACTAGTCGGGATCCCAGCCTCCTATCAATCTAGTTTATATCTGCCCCAACAGTATTAACAAAGCTCTCCGTGAAGATTTTGGACCTGTTCCTCTTCAGATGTAATGCATCCACTGGCATTGGGCTCAGCTCCTGCAGAAACGATGCCAGTCCCTTTGCAATCTAAAGCTTTCCCTCCTGCACCATCCCTCCTGCACCATCTCTCCAGCTGTGCACTCGTCAGCTCTATATACCAATACACACTACTCGTAGTACAAGGAAGAATCCAGAGATTACTACCTTTTTTTTTGAGGTTACTTTCTGTCTTATGCTCGTGTGCTGTCTCTCTCTCTCTTGCGCTTGCGTGCCCTCACTCCGGTGTCTTACGCACACACCACACACCTGGCCGACCAACTCACCCCCTTCAGAATGCCCTGTGGCTGTTCCATGACATTTTGACTCTAGCATCTGAAAGACAATATACTATCCTAAAGCCACGTCAGTGGGCGCAAAAGCCTCTACCCCATTCACTAACAATCCCCTTCCACCACACTTTTTCCTCCCCCACTGAGTGAGTAGCCGAATCACAGTGCCAAGGCTTTGGCTCTGTCTGGCCTCCACAGAGGAACCTTTTACTCTAACTGCTTCCTGTGGTGAACGGTTTGCAAACAAGATGGACTTTGGGGATTTCCTCATTACCTATCTGATCGCCTTCTGTCTATCAGCCATCCATTCCCTCTCTATGTGCACTTCCTTAAACTGTGAGGTGACCACATCCTGAAATGTGCTGTCTGTGGACCTCTTGACCTTGCAAATGCACTGTAGTGACCCTAACTGCTACTCAATCTCAAATAGCCAGAGTTTGAGTTTCTGCAGTGAAAGGCATCTCCTGCACACAGTCATCCAGCCCAACAGGGATGTTTTGGATTTCCCACATAATGCAGGATGTACAAATTAAGGGTCTGAATTCCCCAGACATATCTCGGCTATATAGGATATGGACCCATGTTTTATTTACTCGCATCTAGATTCATTTTAATTTTCAAAGTTTTAGGTATGTATTCATGCATAATATACAGGTGTTATTGGGAAAGTTAGTTTTTGCCCTTTCCTAATTTCCATTGTAAAAGTAATGAGTTAAAATGGAGTAAGATTAAAAATTAGTTTGCAAAGCACTGCTATTGTGATCCAGCAAAGTCATGTTCCATTATTAATTTGAACTTCATTTGTATTACGTGCACTAACTACATTGCATGCTGAAAAGCTGAGGTCACTCTGGGAGTTAAACATGAATGCAATTGGTTTATAGTTTTGATGTTAGCAGAACACAAACTAATGATTGTATCCGCTTGAAGTCTAACAATTCCACCCATTTGAAGCAGACTAGAAGTATTTCCATTTCAGTACAGATTGCAAGTGTTATTGGTATAGTGATTTCTCGTTACAAAATATAAGTCTTCACTTACTCTTGCCCTGGATGGAGAACCAAAGTTAATGTTGAATTGAAGCAGATCAATGACAGACAACTTACAGATTCGAACTTTGCTGATTTTTCTCTTTATCAGACAGCGTAACAGCATTACAATAGCTTATCAACTATATCGGCATTTGGACTAGGAGATTGGGACTAGCCGTAAATGATGACAAGTAAACAAAAGCAAAATGTGATCGGACACTACCAATGCATATGCAGATGTTCTCTAGAAAAACCAAAGTTTTTTTGCCATAGACTATCCACCTATCCGAGTAATTATTTAATATCCAGAGAAAAATAGACAAATAAATCTATTCAAGACTAGCTCAAGTATTATCAGCTTTTAATCAACTGTTTTCAAAAAAGAATTATGGAACATTAGAAACCCTCCTATGAAAACAAAGCTTGGGTTGAAAAGTGTAAATGTGTACTCCAGTTCCTTTTATATTTATGAAAATTGGAACTGTTTTTAAAAAAAAAATAGTCAAGGAAGGAAACCGGGTGTAGAGCTGAATGAACACAGCAGGCCAGGCAGCATCAGAAGAGCAGGTAAACTGACATTTCGGGTCTGGACCCTTCTTCAGAAATGGCGGGGGGAACCTCATCCCAAGACCAGCTCATCTCGTCCCCGCCTCCTTGACCTGTCTGTCTTTTCTCCCACCCATCCACTCCTCCCACCTCACTGACCAACCCCCACCCCCACTTCCTACCTTCACCTCACCTCACCTCATCTCTGCTAGCCTCATCCCCGCCTCCTTGACCTGTCTGTCATCTCTCCACCTATCTGCTCCACCATCTACCTTCTATCACTGCCTTCCCCCCTCTCTCTTTTATTTCAGAGCCCCTTCCCCTCCCCCCATTTCTGAAGAAGGGTCCAGACCCGAAACGTCAGCTTTCCTGCTCCTCTGATGCTGCCTGGCCTGTCGTGTTCATCCAGCTCTACACCTTGTTATCTCAGACTCCAGCATAAGCAGTTCCTACTCTCTAAGAAAGGAAACAGAATGTTTTTCCTACCAGATGTCATCTGAAGGATATTGAGAATACGCCAATAAGACTTCGCATCTGATTATTGAAGTAAGAAAATGCTGAGAACAACCTTCAGTTTCGAGCATCATTTATGAAAGAAGCTTAGCTAGCTTGGTCATGTCATGTCATCTGACTTCTTCATGGCGTGCTTGTTGATTAATTCACCAGGCTCCTGATGGATGTAGTTGACCAATGATCCAAACTGAACAGCTGCCAGACTGTCAATAGTGATCTACAGCTGGTCAATGGACGCTGGATGATGTGAGAAAATTGGCTACAGACAAGAATGAATAAAATGTTTTGCCTGATGAATCTCTAGGTTAGGAAGCTGCTGTGTCTATGCATGTTTAATAAGTCATTTACTGGGACTTGTTACTTGCGAATCTCACCAGATCTGTTTATATCTGAAATTAAAAATTAACACATGACTGAGGGGTGTGTGTGTGTGTGTTTTTTCATGTAGTCGTCGGCCTGAAGCTTTCATAACTTGTGGGCTATTCATATCCTTAGATAAGAATGAACCCATGCATACAATGATCTTACAAAGTTTTTGTTTGTTTTGGGTGGCAGTGTTAGTATTTCAGAGTTGGGGAAGAGTGAATTAATCCTTCAACCTTCACTTTGAAACATTTTGGTAAAGTTATGCCTTTATTGTTCAGTGGTTGTACTTTATTTAGTACAAGCCAAGCTTGACAGATGTCAGTGCTTAAACATTAACCTCAAAATGCAACAGAAACATTGTTACTCACCGGATAGAAGTGTGATCCCTGTGTGATTACACCCAATGGTTATGCCCAAGACATTGTCAGTACATTGACATTTCGATGTGAATGCCTGACCAAAGCTAGGAAAACACTGTGCCTTTGGCATCTATCTTACCTTTTTTAGTATAGCACCTTCTAGTGTAATAAAACATTCCAAGGTCTTTCTGGGCCATTGTAAAACAAAATATGACAAGTTATAACTTGGGATAGGTGATCAAAAGTTTGACCAAAGAGAAAAAGGAGTTTTAGGATTGCCTTTAAAGAAGGAAAATACTATAGAGATGCAGAGAATTTGGGAAGAGAATTCAAGAAATTGGGATCAAGGAAGCTGAAAGTCTGACCACCAATAATTAAACTATTTTAAAATCCTGGGGGTGTTCCAGGCTGGAAGTTAGAGTACAGATGCTTTTGAGTTTGATGGAAAATGGAGATGGGAGAGGGAAGTGAAAAATGGAAGAAAATTAGCAAACAAGTTAGGTAGTCAATCCACGCCTCTCTTCAACTGTGGCTAGAAATTTTGCTTTTATTTTTGTTCTCTTACAAGGACATCCCAGTCAACATATGTTGTTCGCCATTACAATGCAATGTTTAAACACACTTGTACAAGTTTACTTTTAAATCTGATTTCAGTAGCAAAGTTTGAGAAAAGCAAGATAAAAATAAGATCAATCATGAAGCATCAGGCATGAAAGCAGAAAGTACGGTACTGGTCAGGAGATTTGTGTATATTTTGGTCGACCACCACAATCTAGTGAGGACATGATCTGTTAGTATAGACTTCATCCTTTTTTATATACATTTACTGCATTGAATACTGATATGTCGAGGTTATTTTAGTGATTTAATATATAGTCACAGCCAAGATTCACATTCTTGATGTTAATAGAATTGTTTTTTATTAATATTTCTTGTCTGTCAAATTTCAGATAATTTTGTCTTCAGCCTTTCTTATTATTGTATTAATCAGAAGATAGATAGTAAGTATATTTTAGAAAAGGAAAGCCATTTAAAAAGTAACGTTAAATAAAGGGACACAAAGTGCTGGGCTCTGACTGAGTACAGTCACAGATTCTACCGGAAGTATGAACATACGAATTAGATGGTAAGACAGCTAGGAGAAATGGAAGTTACCATAGAAGACTGATAAAATTCGGTTAGGTAAAATAAAGAAGTGTGCAAGATCACGAGAGGTAGTAAGGCTGAAGAAAACCGTTCTGATGAAAACTCAGACCATTAAAGTAAAGGAATTGTCATTTGGCTCTTAAGATAAAATAATTGTACAGAAAGGCAAAATGTAATTTTGTTACAGAAAGATTCCTGGCTGTAGAAGAAATGTATGGAAGTTTGAATATCAAAGAGGGCTAAAAAGATGGCTGCTAGAAATAACTTAACAAAATATATTGAAAACACACCTGCATCAAAGATACATTTGTAGTTTAAAGGGAATATAATCAAAGATAGATGGGGCCAGTACTTGTGAACTGAAGAATATCCAAGAGCAGAATGAAGAGGTAACTGCAGCTAGAGGAATGATGACTACATCAGTCTGGAGTGAATCAATACAACAAGGAATGGAATGAAAAAGTGCAAATTTATAGAACTAGTTGACCTATGAACAGAAGTATAGATTTATTGAGGAGGTATTGGGTCAAGGACAACTACTCAGTTTAGTGAAGATAGAAAAGAAAATCTCATGGGCATGGAGGTAAAGCATTTTGATACCATTAATCAAAACAAGAGATATTTAGGATTGCAAAAAATACCAAGGAATTCAAAAAAAAGCTTACCTCAGAGATGTAACAATTGGTACTGAGCTCCTTCCTTGTTTGATTGTTATTGATGTTCTGACTGACCAAGTGAGACAGGAGATACCATATATTTAATGATGTTTGTAGATGTCATCTGCAGTACCTACCTCAATGTTGAGCGTGTGACCAAGTATCTGGAGGACAGGAGAAAAGCGTTGGAAGGTTGATCTAGTGATTTCTCACCCCCTGCCCAGCCTATTATCCAATTTAGGGACTGTCAATTTAAGCCTTAGGAAGAGGACAAGAGAGATGGTACAAAGTTTACAGGTAGAGACTTGAAGTTAGTAATTTTTTAGTACATGGTTAGTGGTAATCGAAGATGGGAATTAAGAACACAACACTTTTTAAAAGAAAGAGTAGGCCATTCAGTCTTTTAGGCCTGTCCCATCATTCAGTGCAATCATGATTGATCTTCTACTTTAGTCTTTTCCTGGACTTGCCCCACCTCCCTCGGTATTTTCAATACATAAAAGAACTATCAATCCTAATTTTGAATACAGTCGATGTCTGAGCTGCCCCTCTCTAGGGAGGAGAATTGCAAAGATTTGCCACTCTGTAAATGAAGAGATTCCTTCATTTCAGAATAAAGGGTAATTTAAAACTGAAGACTCCTAGTTTGACTCCCCAACCAGATAGAACATCCTTCCTGTATCTATCATCTTGATCTCTGTAGGCATTTTTGAATGCCTCCCTCATTCTTCACCCCTCGTTCTTCTAAACTACGGAAAATATAGGTTCAGTCTATTTAATCTTTCCTAATAGGACAGTTCCTCCGTTCCAAGAACTACGTTATTGAACTTCTTTGCACACTGTGTACAGCAAATATACCTCTCCTTTGGGAAGGAGACCAAAACTATACATCATGCAGTCAAATGTGGCCTCACCAACACTTGAAATATAATTGCAGTAAGACATCTTTACTGTGATACTGGAATCCTTTTGGGGGGGGAGAAATGGGCAACTTACTACTTGCCTTAATTGCTCTGCTCACTGCGCCTGCACGCTGCAAGTGTTGGGGGTTGATTTAGCTCAGTTAGCTGGGTGGCTGGTTTGTGATGCAGAATGATACAAACAGCGTGGGTTTGTTTCCTGCACCAACTGAGGTTACCATGCGGTTATCTTCTCAACTGCTTACCTTGCCTGGGTATGGTGACCTTGGTTTAAACCACCACAGTTGTCTGTCTATAAGAGCAGAATTCAGTAGGACTGTGATGACTACCTTTTACTCTGTGACTCATGAACAAGGACACATCCCATTTGGAAGTTTAATGCTTCTTGACTTCTCACTGTTTAAGAAATAATCTGTATTTCTGTTTCTTGTATCAAAATAGATAACCTCCTATTTTTTCACATCATATTGCTTCTGACAGTTTTTTGCCCACTCACTTAGTCTCTCCAAAATCCCTTGAAATGTCTTTGTATTCTCCTCAAGCCCCTCTCTCCCACCTATTTTTGTATCATATTCAAACTTGGATGTGGAGATTAAATGTAATATTTTTGAATTGTTGTCATAGATTTGTGAATAGCAGGAGTCCAAGCCTTAATCCTTTTTGTACCATACTAGTCATAGCCTGATAGACTAGAAATAAACAGGTCATTTTTAGGTTGTTTTCTGTAGATTAACTAGTTCTTAATCAATGCCAGTGTATTACCCCAATCCCATGTGTTCTAATTTTGTTTACTAACCCCTTGTATGGGACCTTGAAGAAAATTTTCTTAAATATAAGTATACTATATCTATTGGTTCTCCCATATCTATTCTGCAAGTTGCATTCTCAAATAAACTCCAACAGGTTAGTCAAATGTGATTTACTTTTCACACATGAATGTTGATTTCTTCCCAGTTCTTCCATTGCTTACTTGGTGTCTTGTATCACATTCTTATAGATTGTAGCATTTTTCTACAATTGATGATAGGCTAATAGGTTCATAATTCGCATTTTTCTCACCCTCCTTTCTTAGTGCAGTTACATTTGCCACCTTCCAATCTGTAAGGATCATTCTAGAGTTTAGAATTTTGAAAGATGACTGCCAATGTAACTGAAGCCATTTCTTTGAGCACTCTGGGCCGCATATCATGGGGTCCAGGGGCATTATCTACTTGAAGCCCATTATTTTCTCTAGGAACAGTAATATCTGGTCTCTTGTTTACAGTAACTCCAAGCTTTCCTGATTAATTTCTGGGAGGTTTATCATATTTTCATCCACAAGACAGATGCAAAGTGTTTTTTTTTCTGTATTTCCCTTTATTATCTAATATAAATTTTACTGACTACATGTAGTGGCCACACATTTATCCTTGGTAATTTTCTCCTTGTCACCTTTTTAGTTCTTTTTGATTCTTGCTAGGTTTCTTTACTCTCATTCTAATTTCCCTTTCTTAATCTTTTCCTTCATTCTCCGACATTGATCAAAGTGAGGTCAGGTCCAGTGATCTGAGGTTCAGGTAGGTGTGACGGTTCTAAGCAAGCACATGAACCATGTGAAAGTTGCAAACGGTGCTTGAGCAAAATGTGCCCGGCTCCTCTACTGCCTTTCTGACTGTTCTTAATCCTCTGGGTTCTTCCTCTTGGTCAAGCGTTGAAGAGACCTCAGAATCTGAGATGGACATGGTGGACGTCACCACCTTGACTCCTTTGTCGCCTAAAGAAGAGAATGAATTTCTTCCGAGATGCTCTAGGCGCAAGAGGCAAGCTACTATGCGTAACATGCCACCTGTCAGAAAGGCAGAGTTGGAGGAACCTGACCCAGTGCTAAAATGCCCTGGGAGGAATTGCAAAAAAAACCTCAGTTGAGGGGAGGAATGTAGTGATTCTAAAAGGTCAACCAAGTGGACTTCATAGAATATGAGTTCCC